TATACATGGTCTACACAATTACGATCTGGTCTAAATCCAGCTTGTCCTTCGCTGATCTTTTGTTTCCCCTCCAACATGTCTCCCATTCTATTGTCTATCATCTTGCCAAACAGTTTCCCCACTGTGCTCAACAGGGTTATCCCTCTATAATTCCCCGGGTCAGCTTTATCCCCCTTTTTGAACAGGTTCACGACTACTCCTTCTCTCCATCTCTTCGGCGCGTACTCGTGTTTCCATATCCAGTTGACTATCCGGACCAACATGTTAATCATCCCCTCCCCCCCCTGTTTCAAAAGCTCGTTCACAATTCCATCAGCCCCTGCTCTCGTGTGAACTCTCCCTGCAACCCGTCTACATCACTACGTTCCCTCTGAGATCTTTCAACGTTTTCCTCTGCCCACGAGTTGATTTCCTTCTCAAACTCCGAGTCGAAGTTGTCGTTGGTGGTGGGTGTCCCAAGTTTGCGGTAGTGCTCTACTAGTACTTCCCTCTTTCCTTTAGAACTGCTTACCATCTTACCCTCGGCAGATCTTAGTGTCGTTATTTCCGTGTCTCCCCCTCTTTTGTTGCCCACTATCCCTTGAATTCCTACCCACATTTGCTTCATCCCCCCCTCAAAATCTTCGTTAGTCTTTTGGACTACTTCCTCCCACAACCCGTTCTTCTTCTTCACGACCAACTCCTTCACCCTCTTTCTACTTTCAACATACTCCTTCCATCCTGCATCTGTTTTCCCTGCCGCATATTTTGCGTGTGACTCTCTACGTACTCGAATTGCTTACTTGATTTCTTCGTCCCACCACTTCACTGCTCTGTTACAAACTATCAACTTTCTACCTAGAACTCTACTTGCTGTTGTGTTTACCAGCTCTTCCCACCCTTCTATGATTCTAGACCCGGCCTGGTCCCGGCCTTCGGCATCCTTCGGTGTACCCATTGCCTCTATCAACTCCGAGAGTTTCTTGTCGTTTATAGCCATCTCTTCTTGGAACTCTACCCTCGTTTCTTCTACTTCTAGCTTATCTATTCTCCATCTGTACATTTTCCTGCGTCGCCTACTTTGTATGGCTCTCGTCTGTTGTAGGGCTGCCCACACCAACGCGTGGTCTGTAGTGCCTACATCCGTTGTGCATACTCGTACTTCCGTCTCTTTCCCCCCATTCTCTACGACTATATAGTCAAGGATGGAGCGTTCTCCTTTTTTGAAACATTGCCTAGCCCATCCCGGTTCTGTCTTTCGTACTCTACCGTTCAACACCTTCATCTCGCTACTGTCAAGGAACCTCAGCATTTCTTCCCCGTTTTTGTTCGTGGCTCCCTCCCCGTATTGCCCTATGGTTCCGTGTGGGTTCGTGGTTCGCCCGATTCTTGAATTGAAGTCTCCAACTAGAACTACTTCTCCCTTTCTCTTGAAGTTTTGTACATCCGCTGCTACCTCCTCGAACCCTATCCTGATGTCTTTCACCATATTCTTCGACTCTGGTGCTGGTGGCATATATACATTTCCACGAACAAGTCCATTCTTCCCCGTTCCCCTGGTACCCTTATCCACATGCTGTCGTTGAATTTGGTGTCGCTGATCACCTCAATTATGTCGCACATGTGCTCCTTGACAAAGAATCCAACTCCCCCCTCCCCTCTACTCTTGATTTTCTGTCCTCTCCTCATTTTACCTATCCATGTGTAGCTTCCCACTTCTTTTCCTATTTCTCCCCCGTCCTTCTCCCACGACTCTTGGACTCCGACTATGTCCAGGTCTTTTTGGCCGCTTGCTCGGCAATTTCGAGTCTTTTACGCTCATCTGTGGCAAATCCGCATACATTCCAAGACCCTATTCTGATTTCCTTACTCCTACTTTCTACTTTCCCGTGCCTTTCAGGATTCCTTTTGTCCCTCATTTGCCTTCCCTTCTGCCTTATCCTATCGCTGCCCCCCCCTTCCCCTACTTTGGCTTGCTTTCCCTTTTGACCCTTTCGGGCCTCCTGCCCTCCTTTGTTTTCAGCCAGCCTTGGGCTACGCCTTACTTCCTGGATCCTATTTGCTATGCACACCCTCCAACCTAGTCTCCTCACCCACGCCGACATCTTCTCTACTTCTAGTCTTTCCCATTCTGCGCTTACTCTCCTTCCAAACGTGATTCTAAAGTGGTTTCCTTCCCTTTCTATCCCCCCCCTTGCGAAGAAATATAATCCTACTTCTTCACATCTACTTTTGAACTCCAACCTTGTCATGTCGCTATTGATCCCAAAGATCAACACTACCGGTACTGCACCTTTCCATTCTCTCCTTCTCCACCCTTTGTGCCTCGTCGTCTCCCTCCCTATCTCTTTCGAGACTATCTCGTTCTTTGTGTTTGAAGTGGGGTGCTTTCAAATTACTGGGACTTCCCAATCCAAGTACTTGTTAAGGGTCTGGTGTCTTTCAATTCTTTTGCCGGCTCACCGACACTAAAAAGTGCCTCCAACACGGGCTCATAGGCTGGAGCCAAGTTCAACACCCTTAGCACAAGGAGGGGGGGGGGGGGGGTAGACCGATGGTGAAGTTCGTTCGTTCACCCAGCACGGCCTTGCCACATCTAACCCCCCATTTCTCCTTTGCCACCCGCCCATCATCAAAACTCCAGGAAAAATTATCGGGAAACACTTGATCCACTTCATTCTAAACGTGGCGCACGTATCGAACGTTACACCGAAACTCACCCTACGGTGCTGAGCGCCAGCAGCGCAGAAAACACGGCCCCCAACACGCTCGTCGTCGCCGGCAAGTCGCCCCCCTCGTCAACGGCACCGCCCCCCCCACCCCGCGACGCCCGGAGAAAGACGCCGGCGCACCCTAGCAACACCATCAGGAAACCCACCAAGGCCTGCGGGTTTCCG